AAAAAAAAAAAAAAAGCCCACTTCCTCCCGAGTTTCCAAATTAGCCTTTAATAGCAGCCAGCGAGGGATATGTGCTGGGGGAAGACACCGCCCCCACCTGGACACGTTCAGGCAGTAGCTATTTCTTGAGTGCTTACGACGTGTTGGGCACTGCGTGGAGCTGCTGAGGTACAGCCATGACTGAGACAAATTCTGTGGGTTCACAGTTGGGGGACGGGACATTCACGCCCCACACACCGTCATGTTGCAAGCTGAGAGCAGTATGAGGAGATACCGATGGTGCATAAGGATAGGGGTGTGATGGTCAGGGAGACCCTTTGAGGGTGTGACCCCAGGAACTGAAGGATGAGAAGGCATTAATTAGAGAAGCACAGGGAACAGTGTTCCAGTAGAGGGAACGGCATGTGCAAAGACCTCACGGGGGAAAGGCATGGCAAGAGGGGAGGCATGGAAAGCTAGTGATGGTGCAGTGGTGGGGACGGGGAGGGTGAGGCAGGAGACTCCTGCAGGAGCTGGAAGGCGGGACCCCGGCCTCCTCTGGGACCATCGTCCTGCTCTTCCATGAGGCAGGCAAGAGCGGGGAGGGCAGGCACATTTCCATCTAGTGTCATTTTTACCTCTTCAGTTTTGGCTTCAATCTTTCTATGGGTGAGAGCTTCCAGAAGGATGGATGGGTGGACCCCCAGGAGCTGAAAACATGGAAACCAAAATGCCATTCAGCGATCAGATTTGCTTTTTGCCAATTTGCAAGGAGTTGGTGCCATTTCCAGGCCCAGGATTATACACCCTGACGGATAATCCCACCGAAATGCGAGAGAGACCACATCCCGATTTTACACTCAGCTGGCTTTTACCCACTCCCTCACCTGCCCCCCTCGCTCTTTAAATCTCCTAGCCAGTATCAGCCGGAAGGCCACGGTGTTGGCCGCGTGGGACCTGGGCCTCCAGCTGCCTTCAGCTCCCCTCTCCTGCCCTCCGCCTCCGAAAGGGCCGGGCCCTCCCCGTGCTTTTCAGAAGCCGAACGTCACCTTGGCGATCCATTTGATCTCGTGGGTGTCTGGGATCGTGGCACAGCCTTGGTGGTTCTCTTCAAAACAAACGTTCCCCAGGTGTAGGACGCTGGCAAGAATTCCAAAGAGATTCTAGGAATGTGGGAAAGGGTGAGGAGAACAGGGAGAGAAGGGCGGCCGCCCAGCTGATGAACGTCATCACGGGAGACAGCCAAGGAAAACCGCCCCTTCCCAATTCCAGCCCGAGCTCAGAGCTCACAGAGCCAAGTTTCCCCCGCCCCAGGAATCAGCTTCTTACCCACCTCAGATGTTAAGGGAAGGAGGATAAAAGAACCTCAGCAGAGGATGGGGGAAGATACCTCCTTCCATCTCCAGCACAGGACACTTCTATTTCTGGATCCTCCCCATCCCCTTTCCGCCAACAGACCATTTCATATGCAAATAGCATGATCCCAGATACATATAGATATATATTATATCAATGTATATTATTTTTTAATTTATTATTTATTTTTGAGAGGGTGCAACCAGGCGAGGGGCAGAGAGAGAGGGAGACAGCGGATCCAAAGCCGGCTCCGGGCCGACAGCAGCGAGCCCCATGTGGGGCTTGAACCCACGAACTGTGAGATCACGACCTGAGCCAAAGTCGGACGCTCAACCGACTGAGCCACCCAGGTGCCCCTAAATATATTTTAAAGTATAATTCTAGTCCTTGAAAGAGCAAGAAGAGTTTTAACCATCAAAAAGGAAAACAGAAAAAGATGTAAAAACAGAATGTTCATATATCCTACAATCTTCTCCAGTTTGTTCAAAAATAGAAGTGTAAATAAACAGTAATGCTGTAGATCCGGAGCATGTAAATATCTGAGATTTGATTTTGGGGCATCTGGGTGGCTTAAGTGGTTGAGCGTCTGACTTCAGCTCAGGTCATGATCTCACAGTTCAGAGTCTGAGCTGGGCTATCCACTGTCAGCACAGATCCTGCTTCGGATCCTCTGTCCATCCCCCACCCCCCCACCCCCGTCTCTCAAAAATAAATAAAAATTATTAAGAATATATTTGAGATTGGATGTGAGAGGAAGAAGAAACAAAATCTCCTCCTTGCTCACCTCATTGGGAAATCTTAGGTCTGATGAAATGCAGAACGCCCAGGTAACATTTCAATCCCAGATAAGCAAGGACTAAGTTTTTCGTAGAAGTTTATCTCATTGGGACAAGCTTATCTGAAATTCACATGTAACTAAGCATCCTGTATTTTTATTTGCTGAGTCTGGCAACCCTACTGGGCGGTCACCAAGATACCAGGATTGTTTCGTCAATCCCAGACCATACCGGCAGCTGTGACCACAGGGCTCATACCTCGAGGTCATCTTCAGTAAAATCGATGACAGAAAAGGCACTGGAAACAGTTTTCCAGTCGTTCTTGTCATTAATAGACGACTCTTTGGCACAATGACCCTGTTAACACAGAATCGGGTTGCTTCGCGTCATTTCCACAAGGACAGTTAGACACGCCCACACCTATTCTTGAATCAAAGTGGTTTTCTCTCCAAACACACAAGAGCTAGTTCTAGAATGTTCTGATTAGAAAAAGCCAGGTTTTATCTCATCGTCTAGCACAGCATGATTTGCCGGCTGTTGCCTTTTTCAAATTTATTTGGAATCTCTGTCCCGGGAAAACTTTCAAAGGTACACGTTAGTGGTATATCTCTTCAAGTATTTTTTGTTGTTGTTGTTTTCCTTGTCTTATTTGTCAAGTAAACTGAAGATGTTTGTCTCAGTAAACACCTGCTAAAAAATGCAGGGAGAGGACAAGCCCTGGAATTCAGATAACAATCTCGACGCAATCACAACCTCCAGCAGAAACTGCCATGAGGGACGAGGTAGGAGACACTCATTCAAGAAGAGTTTGGCATTTAGAGAAATGAAGGTGATATGGATACAATCACCAGCAGAGAGGTGATGAGACTTCCCACTGACTCTAGAAGTTGTCTTCTAAAGAAGACACACACCACCGAATGTCACAATTTAAAGGGAAGACATTCTGGACGAGGTTTCTGTTTTGTTTTGTTTATGTCTGTTTGTCTCTTTTGCTTTTGTAGGACAAGGTGTTCCTAGATTCCTGGCTATCTGAAGATTCGTCACGTTAAACAGATTTCCTTGTTGCCTGGGGGAAACCGGAGGTGCTGGGTCATGAAAAGATCCACCCGTGAACTGGCCAGTGTTAAATCTGCAACCTCCCAAATATACCTCCCAGTTCGACCAACGGCATCTGCTCCTGCCCCACCAAGGGCGGGGCCAGCTTAAGTCAGTCCTTCCAGGGCACCTAGAGGTTTGGAAGCAGCGCGGATATACTGCGAGTAAAGCCACTACGTTTGTCCAAGTTACGGGGCAACACAAAATTGAACAAAATAACACTGGCGAATGGTCTGAAGATCTGGCCAGAAAAAAAAAAAAAAATCTGCAAAGATAAAAGACAAGCTACATTCCAAAAGGGAATGATTTGAATTATCAAAGGGTTAGGAGAAGCCCTTGGGAAAAGGATTCAAGGTCTAAAATATTTTTATAAATTGACCCTCTCTGTTCATGCCGTGAGAAGCCAGATGTGAGGCTACCATACAGCTTTATGGGGAGAATTCGGTTCTCAAAAAGGAAAAAAAATATATATATTTATCACATCCGAATTAGTCTTCATTCTCACAATTAGTACGAAATTTGCAAAAGGAGATTGGGATTCTTTTATTTTCATCATTTAGCCTCATTTTTCAAGATGCATTTCGGTCATGTCTACTCTTTCACCAGGACTATGAAATGCTGGTCTTTCTTTTACAAGATTCACTTCCTAAGACCTCGTTCTCTTTCTCAAATGATGGCCCCACGTGCACTCTGCCAAGCGGCCTCCATTCAAAGCCAGACCCAGCAAAGAAGAGAAAAATCCGAAAATCTTGGGGCATAAAAAGGTGCCAGTGACATCAAATAGTGATAGATCCTATACAATCTGGACCTTCTAGAACCCTAGTCCTGGCTGCAGAAAAACTAATGGTGGGAGTCAAATTCTCCAAGTCCATCTTTCAACACTGGGTCCCAGGGTTGCTTACGGGAATGGCCCAAACTCTCTCTGTAAGGAAGTCCATTCATTTTGCAATTAACAACCCTCAGACTGGGAGGCAAGGTGGGGAGTCTTTTCCAAACTAGTTCTGGGAAGCAGAAGGGAGCAGCACAAGTTGTGGACACGGACGGGCAGCGAGTTACTATCACACCCAGACCGGTAGTTCTCACTTCTGCTGTGTATTGGAATCACCGGGGATTCACTTAATTATCCAGAATCACAGGGGAGTGTTTAACACAGCCTTGATGTCCAGGTCCCATATCAGACCAATTAGATTGGAATCTTTAGATTGTGTGTGCATGTGTGTGTGTGTGTGTGTGTGTGTGTGTGTTGACAAATCCCCTCAGGTGATTCTAATATCAGCCAGGGCTGAGAACCACTCACCTAGAGATTGGTTACTTTACCAAGATCATCTATCTGTCAGGCATAGACAAAGGGGTTATGATAAGTGGCAAGAAACCAGTCCATAGGATATCTCCAGAATGGTAATGAGAAAGTTCTTGGCCATCCCATAGAAGCCCCCAGTAACGCCCTTCATCCCTGCCACCAAAGGGCGCCCCAGCCAGGTACTGGTCCTTCTGACCTGTGAGAGGTATTTATACAGCTGGGGGTCCCGCTCAAGTCCAAGGTAAGCAAGGAGTTCCTCTTCGCCTCCCTCCAGCAGCTGGTAGAAGATGTGGAAGTTCCTCTCGCCCTGGTTTTGATAGACGACTCGAGACTTTTCTATCAGGTAACTGATGATATGCCCGCCTACGGGAATGCCCTTCAGAACAGAACAAAAAATGCCCAATGACGAGAACTGAGCCGCCTTCTTACTGGTGTCTTCTGAGGAACAGAAATTCTGAATTCAAATGATTCTTCTTCTATGCTTAGTGTTTTCTGGGCTCTGTTCACAAATATTTTTGCCTACCCTGAGGTCATGAGAAGGATTTTCTATGCTTCTGTCTAGAAGCGTGATTTTACCAGTCGCATTTAGGACTGTGGTCGATCACTACTGAATTCTTGGGTATGGAGTGAGGTAGAGGGTCAAAGGTCTTTTTAGTCACATGGATTTCAGATTGATCAGCACCATTTATTGGAAAGGCAGTCGTTTCCCTATTGGATCACAGTGGTGCTTTGGTCATAAGCCAGGCAATCATATCACATGTGGAGGCCTTTGTAGACTCCACTCCACTCTACTGGCCTGTTTACATATCTTTATGTATCACAGTTTTGTTTTTAAGAATATATCCAGTAAGGGATTTGGGTTCCAGAACATATATAGAACTCCTGCAAATCAACATGAGAAAAACAGCCTAATTAAAAGTGGGCAAAAGGCTTTAACACAAACTTTTTTTTTTTTTAATTTTTTTTTTTTTAATGTTTATTTATTTTTGGGACAGAGAGAGACAGAGCATGAACGGGGGAGGGGCAGAGAGAGAGGGAGACACAGAATCGGAAGCAGGCTCCAGGCTCTGAGCCATCAGCCCAGAGCCCGACGCGGGGCTCGAACTCACGGACCGCGAGATCGTGACCTGGCTGAAGTCAGACGCTTAACCGACTGTGCCACCCAGGCGCCCCTAACACAAACTTTTTAATTATCAAGTTATCAAGACTTCACTAATCACTGACGATACCAGATGCTTTCAAGGGTGCACAGAACCCTGCTGGTTAACTGGACCCATCGTTAATTATCATAACATTCCTGGTAAGAACCCAACAATGTCACCTCTGGGTATGTGCCCAACATAAGTGGATGCAAATATCTACTCCAAGACATGTTGCAAGGATGTTCAGAGTGCTATCTGCAACAGCCCCAAACTGGAAATCCAACTGTCCATCAATAGGAGAACAGAAAAATCATGATGAGGTCACATAAGCAAAAAATGACCAACTGCCACATGGAGCGACATTAATGAATCTGACAGAGTGTTGATTAAAGGGAGCCAGACAAAAAAGAGGACATATAATTCCTATACATGAGGCCCAAGAACCCACAAAATTAGTCTGATTATAGAGGGAAGAACAGTTGGTAACAGTTGGGAGGGCAGATACTGTCAGAGAAGGGTAGGACAATCTTCTAGGTGCTAGAAATTGTTACATCTTGATCTGAGTGCCAGTTGTCACAGGCAGCTAGGTAAAAATTCATTAAACTGGACTCATGCCTTGCTTCCTTTTCAGATGTGTTGAATTTCAATAAGGAGTTTAAAAACAGACACAACTATTCAATTGTTTTTTTTTTTTTTCAAAGTCTGGGCGCACTTCACCAGAAGGCCATGTACCGGCTTCTGGAAAACCCTGAGCCAGTCTGTTATCACTACACTCAACCCTCAAGCAACAACTGTCCTCCAGTCTAAGGGATAGTTTGTCCCCTGGAGTTCTACGTCCTTGAGAATTCTGTCGACCCTTCCCACTTGCACGGGCCCCATTTAAATTCTGTGAACATACAACAATATTCATCATACACTGTCTCTGGTTGCCTCCATGCCACAGCAGCAGAGCTGAGTGGTTGTGACGGAAACCCTATGGTCCACAGAGTCTGAAATATTGACTATCTGGCCCTATCCAAAAAACATTTGCCAACCCATGCCATATAATTATGCGCCCACACAGTACATCGTTTCCATGTGGTTATTCTCAAGCTTTATAAGAAATGGCTGACACGTCAGACTTTCCTAAGACTTGACCATGTTACGTGTAGCTTCATTCACTTGCTCTTGCTGTTACGTGACCGTTCATTGGGTGAACATCCCACCATTTAACCATTCTCCTGTCGATGGACACTCAGCCCTCTCCAGATGCGTTGACTGTTTCCAGACCTTTTTACCATCATGAGCAGGGCTCTTGGGGGCAGGCTTGCCAATCTCCAAGAGCGGAATGGGTCCACCTTAGATGATGTGATCTCAACTTCACAAGATAATAATGTTGTTTTCCAAGTGGGTCGCGCCAGTGTGCCCCACCGGCAATGTGGAAAAGTTCCTAATTATCCACATCTTCACCAATAGCTGGTGTGATCAGACTTCTTAATTTTTGCTCACCCAGAAAGTATACAATGGTATCTCATTGCGGTCTTTGTTTGCATTTCCCAAAATGGCGCTAATCCTGGAGTTGTTAGTTATTTGAGCCAATAGAGCCCTTTCTCCCTTAAGGGACCTCGGGTCGGGTTTCTGTCACTGGCAGGCTAAGGGGTCCCCATGAACCAGTAATAGGAACTTCAGTGTACCTTATAGTCAAACTGGATGTCCATGTATTTTCCAAATCTGCTGGAGTTGTCATTCCGGAGTGTTTTGGCATTTCCAAAAGCCTTGCAATACAAAGCGAGGGAGACAGGGACAGGCTGAACCAAACTGTCATGCCTGGTCTTTTTTTTTTTTTTTTTTTAATTTTTTTTCAACGTTTTTTATTTATTTTTGGGACAGAGAGAGACAGAGCATGAACGGGGGAGGGGCAGAGAGAGAGGGAGACACAGAATCGGAAACATCATGCCTGGTCTTTTAAGCTCACCAAGCTCATCAGATTCCTAACCCCAAACGCCATGATTATGAAAATGGGGGAGGGAGGGGAGCCAGGGATTAAAGCCATACTTTATCTTCTAAGAAGGAACCACGAAGGACAGAGAATTTGATGCCAAATACTGAGGATAGAGCGAGAGGAAAGGACAAAAAGATCTCTCTAGCATCCAATCTAGGACTGACGAGGGGGAGCTATAGAGGCCCCTAGGCCCCTGCTGTTCTAGAAGACAGAGTTCATGGCCCCCATTACCAGACCTTCTTTTCTATCAAAGAGGTAAACTGTTCAGCCCATAGGTCTATGGGGAAAATTCCTTCAACCACAAATACCTTTAACATGAAGGGCGACAAAAACACAGAATTGCTTGTTCAAAATCAAACAGCAAGTCAGTGAATTGCAATAATCATCCAAATAATTTCAATTAAATAAGAAAGATATTAATAAGAGAGCACGACTTTAGTGCTTACTAATTCTGCTGTGTGCTTTTTATGCATCCACCTGGTTTTATCCTCAGAAACTCCTAGGAGGTGGGAACTATGAGTAGACCCATTCCACAGATAGGGAAACAGAATCTGGGATATGCAGTGGTTTGCTAAAGCTTGCTGAGGCGTGGCTGCCCTGGGATTAGCGTCCATGCTTGCCGGACCTCAAGGTTATGCCCTTAAGCACCATATTTCCCTTGAGACCTTTCTGCTTAACTCCCAGACGGCGATCTGCCCATTTGGACTGTCCTGCACAGGCAGAAGATTCTTCTTACTTAATTGACCTCCCTAGAACTCCCCTCCACAGGTCCTCAAAGATCACTTACCTCCAGCACTGGATTGGAGAGCAGCAGTCTGTCACGGGCTATTTGTAGTGACTCGGTCATTGGGCAGGTCACGGCAAAATACTGGAGAATCTTCTTGGAGGCCTCCGTTTTCCCTGCCCCGCTCTCTCCAGAAATGAGGATGAAGTGGTTAGTTAGCTCAGAGCACATCATGCGGTAAGCGTTGTCAGCTATGGCGTAGCTGGAGAAGGAGCGGGAAGGGGCTGTGTGTAATGCCCACCACAGCAGAAGGACCAAGAACCCCGCCTCCGGGAAACCACATCCAGACTGTGGTACAAGGACACTGAGCTCAGATATCAAACGCTCACCAGCACCCATTGACTGATCGGAGATAAAATGTACCAGAAATCAAAACTCAGATAACAGAGTTAAAATGGACAAGTTGAGCAACAATGGACATTTTTTAAAAGTTTATTTTGAGAGAGACAGCGTGCGCCCGCGAGTGAGCAAGGGAGGGGCAGAGAGAGAGGGAGAGAATCCCAAGCAGGCTCCAGCCTGTCATTGCAAAGCCTGACATGGGGGCTTGAACCCGTGAACGTGAGATCGCGACCTGAGCCAAAATCATGAGTCAGATACTCAACCGACTGAGCTGCCAAGGTGCCCCCATCAACATTTCATATGAGAATAAGCCAGATACTAAATTATATATATCCCCAAGAGACATTCTATTAACTGCAGGTAGAAATAACGTCTTGTCTAAATAGTTTAAACACTTAATAGCTATAACGAGATCCCAAGTTTCCTCTTTCCTTCAAGATGTAGCATAGTAAGAGTACCGAGACAGGAAAGCAAAAATATCTTAAAAGCTCTGTGATATCTATAGGACAAGAGGTGAGGCGGGTACAAGGGTTTTACCTTCAAGATCAGAAACCAAAGCGTGAAAGTCTCCCAAGAGTGTAAGTTTCCCACGTGGCCGAGTTTGAAAGCCGGCTAATTTGGATCCCCCTAGTGGTAGTGATTCAGAAAGGTTTATAAAGGCCTTACAGGAGGTGAATAGGTAAGTCCTCAAGAAAAATGGAGAGACAGCCCACATACTAGCCCAGAAGTCAACCAGGGAGAACTGAGAAATTCAGTGGCGCCATAGTGACATATAGATCAGACAGGAAATTGCTTGAACTACGGATCTGCGGGACCGCTACTAACGGGAGGCTCCTTTTGCCGCCATGATACTCAGACACCAGTAGATGGCGCTACAGCAAACTTCTTCCCAGAAAAGACCCCTCTCCAGCCACGCTCTTAGAGCTCTTAACAGTTAACAAAAGATTCCACCTCTCGGGATATTTAAACTGAGACTTGACAAGGATCTGATGCTTTCTATTGTGTTGAAAGACATTTATCAAGAAGGCAGGAGTTTAAGTGAGGTCCAGAACCTAATGAGGATGCATCAAAGATATGGCTGGCTGGCTGGCTGGATGGATGGATGGGAAAGAGGGAGAGAGGGAAAAGGAAAAAAGAGGAAGAGAGAAAAAATACTACTGGTGACCCCCCATATGTACTACTTACACATGTGGTGGCAGTTCAAAGAAATTGACCCCTTGATAAAGTTCCATCTGGCTCATAGTGTAGATTCCAAGCTCCTGGTACGGATTCACAGATACAAGGAGAGTCCCAATATAGGTCTAGAAAATGGACCAAAGCACTAGTGAGGAATTGTGGGGTGCAAAGGGCTACAGTGAGAGACCATCACATGCCATGAGCCCCATGTGTTCATTTCATGGGATACAAAACAATAAATAAGAGAGGTGGTGTCCCTGCTGTCCTGGAGCTTACACGCGTGTGCACGTCTGGGGGAAGGGGCAGACAACCAACCCAAGGGTTCCAGAATGCTTCAATTAGAATGGTAAGAAAGGTACACATAGGGTAATGAGAGAGGGAGTGACCAAGGAAGGCCACCTTAGCTCGTGGGCTTGGGGAAGTCTTCTTTAAGGAGGTGACTCCGAGCTGAAACTTGAATGATGAAAAAAAAGTAGGCAGGAAAGGGCAGGTCAGGCTGAGGGGTCCAGGGTGGGCAGGCTGGCTGCCCTGGAGGTCAGCGAGGGAGTGGGGAACGGAAGACGCTAAGACACGGAGTCCGAGATGGAACAAGTTCGGATCCCCCAGGGCATGAAGAACCGGGGGTTTATTCCAAATGCAGCGTGTGGTGGAGACACCGTTCTCCCTACTGATAAGTAATACTTGCCTTACACTGTAAATGTAAAATGGAGAGCTTTACGAAGAGAGCACCACAATCTGACCCACGTTGATGTTTCAGAGAGGTCTCTCCGGCCATTGGGTGAAAGCAGGGAAGATAGGCATCCCGGCTGTCTCCAGCTGGGCCAACATTCCCACCTGCTGGCACGTATTTCCCTGGGTTGCAAAGTTGCGTTCTATTACTGGTCAAGTTCCTCACATACTCGTGATTGTAACAGAACCACTAACGTAAACGCTTCTTGGAATACACTTAGGAATGACCAAAGCTCTCACCCTCTTAAACAGAAAACAAAGACATGCCTGGGCTCCTCTGGAAATACATCTGGGGTTTTCAAATTCTGGGTTTGTTACTGGGTTTCATTCCAGAGCCTCGATATTGGAGGTTCTCAAGTTTATGCCTAGGCTAAAATCATTCTAACGGATGTTTCTAACCTCTAGAACAAAGTCGAACAGAGAACTAGAACAGATGAGAGTACCATATTTTGTCTAAAATTGTGCACGGCTTCCACCAGTAGAAATCTTCCAGGGTAGAACGTAGTTTCTGAAATCTGTTCAAACCGGAAATGATTTTTTCATGATGATCCTATCATCCCACTTATACTTCTCCATACCGCACTCTTTCTCCTTGGCTTATACATAAAATCTACTTCAATCAAAAATATATACTCTAAGAATTCCCATTGCTTATTTCTCCCAGTAACCTTGGTTTCGACATACGGATTAAGTCATGGCACCATTAAAAACAAAACAGCTACAAGGCAAATATCGTTAGATCGCTTTTCATGGTCTAATTTACTCTTAGCAACAGCTAATAAAATCTCAATAAAGTTAATTAAGTTTAAAAACACACAGAGACGCTGTGGAGTTTGCCCTACAACAATCTACCTGAAATTTGACCAATCAAATCAAGGTGCGGTGAGAAATGGGGAACTTAATAAAAACTGACCACCACTAGAAGCAACCAGACAAACCTAAGAACAGGTCCGGCCATGTGTGGCAACCTTGACCCTTGGAGATTCATGGGATGCGGTGGACATCTCTTATATTTGCCAGTCTGGCATCTCGATCCCCTCCTTCCGGCAGATTCCTTTGAGGAACCTTCTCCGGCTGGCAGCCCGCATCAAATGGTAAGGTGCACACTGGCCTAAATCCTCACCTCCTGGGCTGGGCCTGGGTAAATAGCCTGGCCAATCAGAATATTCCTCACTTCAGCTGTGGGGATTGGTTCAGAGGTAAGCAATGACCCGAGATGGGCCAATCAGAGCCAACCAACGTCTGTGTCTCCGGGAGGAATTGCTCTCTTGTCTACCAACATCAGCCTGGTCCGGCTGTCAGCTACCCAGCCCCCTTGCCCCCTTGCATAGAGTCTGCCCCAGAAAGAGACCTTTGCAAAATCGAGCAGAGAGGTGGGAAAGAGCCCTTGAGGCTCTTCAAGTCTTATCACCCTAGACCCTAGATCTATTTCTGGACCCTACAGTGACAAGGGTCAATAGATTCTGTCTTATGGCTTACGCCCGTTTAAGCTGGGTCTTTGTCACTGGAAGCCAGGATTGGGGTGCATCTGGCAGTGGTCCCTTCACCCCTCTCTTTAAAGGCTGATCTAATGGAGAGATACTGCTCACTATCCTCAAGGCTGTGAAGACAGGCAGGAGGGGAACCACCAGTCTAGGGAAACAGCTGAGGAACAGGTGACATTACATAGATGAGGTTCTCGCTGAAACGCTTTCGAAGATTGTCCAGAAAAGCAGATTCGCTGGTGTAGGCATCCAACAGCACAAAATCCTGCACCCCGACCTTGTCCCGGGCGGTCAGCGTGCTTTCCATGTGCAGACGAATGTGCTTCCTCCTCACTTCTTCTTTCTGCGGCAAACAGAACATTCGTCAGCAGCTCGCTTATTCTGCAGCCCCTATTGCTCGTCGAAGACGGAAACAGCGAGATCCCCGGGGGACAGTGGAGCGCTGAGATCACATTAGGCTCTCTTTGTTAAGGGTTTACGATCTGGTTAGGGATACAAGGGGATGGTAATAAAAGCAGTAACGGTAAAGGCAGCAGCTGACAGCAACGGAGCAGTGACTGCTAGGTACTACGCTAAATACTTGGCCTCTATTTTCTTTGGCCCTAGTGCTGAGGCTAGGAAGTAAATGCTATTGCCGTGCCTATTTAACAGATGAGGAAACTGAGGACAGAGACGCTATAAAGCACGTCCAAGTTCTGCCAAAAGGCACGGCCAGGATATGAACCTAGACAGCCCGGCCCCAGAGTCTTTCTTGACCATCCCTTACTAAGCATCAGTTACCTCAGCTTGCTGTGTAATTCTGAGATGCGTGAGGAATTTGGTTGCAATGGGAATTTCTTGTTACAGAGGAACACTCAAGGCAGGACACCCCGGAAGGGTCCTCTCTCCAAGGCTGGGCTTCAGACCTCCCTGGAAAAGGAGTCGTCGCAGCTCACTGGAAGGTGGAGAATCTCGGCGGGATACCAGGGGGCAGAGCTGGTCCACTGTCCCTAGACGGTGTCCGTGAGGGACACAGGTGGGCAAAGGGGGTCCGATCGGCGCTGGGCAGCGGGCCTGGTGCAGCACTGCCTGAGTCAGAAGGGCTGTGGGAAACAGCTCTCCAGGTCTGGGGCAAGCTGAGGCTGGAGACTGGAGGGTACAGAGAGAGAGTGGGGGGGCACCGCCATAGGAGGTGGCCTGGAGCGTGTGAGCTCTGCGTTGGGAGGATCGCCACAAGGTGATCAGCAGGCCCAGGCTACTGGGGGGCTGACGGACCATGCTCTGGGCACACGGTTAGTGCATGGGTCACCATGTACCACTGCGCAGGCGACTGCCGCTGAAAAGCAGCAGCAAAACCTAGCAAAGGGAGCCAGAAAGAGAAACCTCTGGCTAGTGCAGCGTCCCTCCAGCGCCCTCTAGTGACCAGGATGCAAGGAGCAAGGCTCAAGGAGGTCGGTTATCCCAGGGCAGGTCCTGAAGGATGAATCTGGGCATGGGACAGGAAATTGACAACGGACACCTTTGGATACACAGAGGATCTGGAATAGCTGAAACAGTCTCGACAAAGGAAAACAAAGCTAGAGGACTCACGCATCTTCGCCGGGAGTAATCAAGCCCGCTGTGTCAACTGATTTTTAACAAAAGTACCAAAACAAGTCAGTGCAAAAAGGGAAAATCTTTTCAACTAATAGCACAGGAATAGCTAGGTATCGTAATGAGGTAAACCCATTTCAACCCTACTTCATGATACATATACTTATATATTATAAAATAATGTAGTGTAATACATATAAAATATATGTTCATATTTTAATACATTTCTATTACTTGAACTTTTAATTAGCAATAATCGCGCCTCGGATAAACCTCATTGGCTGCGATACTGCCACTGCGCAAAGCTTACTTGAACTTTTATATGTGTAAAACTATATGTAAAACTTCCACATATCTATATATTATATGAACCTGTATGTATAAAACTATATGTAAAACTTCTATATATCTATATATTATACAGTATACATTTATATATAAAACTATATATAAGACACATATCTATCTAATATATAAACATATATACAAAACTCTATATAAAACTTTTTTTATGTATCAGGGCACCTGGGTGGCTCAGTCGGTTGAGCGCCCAATGCTTGATTTTGGCTCAGGTCGGGATCCCAGGTTCATGGGATGAAGCCCTGTGTAGGGCTCTGTGCTGACAGTGCAGTCTACTTGAGATTCTCTCTCTCCCCCTCTGCCTGTCTCCCCTGCCTGCATGCTCTCTCTTAAAATTAGTTAAAAACAAACCTTTTAAATTCATCTATATATTATATAAACTGACATATGGAACTATATAAAGAAAACTTTTATTATATATGAACTTTATATATAAACAATTCCTATCTCATAATATATAAAGATATAAATTTATAAAAACATGTCGGACATATTATAACATTTTATTTATATATATAAAAGCTTGAGATGAATCTGAGACCTAACTGTAAATGCATAATCTCTAAAGCTAACAGGAGAAAACAGAAGAGAATATCTCTGCAACCAGAGGAAGGTAACATTTCCTATGACAAAGGAAGAAAGAACTATAAAAAATAAGGCATTTGACTTCATCAAAAACTTCTCCCAGAAGACACCATTAAGAAAACGAATAGGCAAGCCACAGACTGGCCGAAAGTGTTCACAAAATATATACCTGCGAAGGATTTGCATCCAGGATAAAAGATTCTTATGACTCAGTAACAAAAAATCAAACCCTGTAAAAATTGCGCAGAAGACTTGAACGGACGTTTCACAAAGGCAGACAAAACGAATGGTCAATGAGCGCATAGGAAAGTGCTCAACGTCATTAGTCATCAGGGAAATGCAAGTCAGAACTGCATCGAGATGGCCCCAGAGCAGCTCGAATGAAAAAGACTGACAGCACCAACTATGAGCGAGACGCAGAACAGATGGACCGCTCCCGCATCGCTGGCAGGAATGTGAAGTGATAGAATCACTTTGGGAAAAGGTCTGGCAGTTTCTAATAAAGTTAGCCTCCGCCCTTTGATCCAGCAGTCCCCTTCCAAGTATTTACATAGGAGAAGTGTAAACACACAGCCACAAAAGGACTCCAACATAAAGGTTTACAGCAACTTTATTCATAATGGCCCCAAACTGGAAACAATCCAAATTTCCATCAACCGGAGAACGGACGTGGAATCTATACAATAGAAAGGGTACAGCGATAAAAGAGAGGACTGGTACGCAAGACACAGAGGACTCTCACCGGCATTGTGCTGAGTGAAAGAACTCAGACACAAAAGAGTGCATGCCCTATGATTCCATTTATCTGAAATTCTGGAAGCAAAACTAATCTGCGGTGAAAAATCAGAACAATTGTTGCCTGGTTAGGGGGGTTGTCTGGCAAAGAGCATTTTTGGAGTGATGGAAACATTCTCTGCCTTGATAGGGCTGTGTGTTACATGGCTGTGTCTGTTTGCCAAGATACCTTGTTAAGATTTGGTAGATTTCCACATATGTAAATTTTATTCTAAAAAAGGACCACAGGGGGGCGTCCGACTTCGGCTCAGGTCATGAACTCGTGGTTTGTGAGTTCGAGCCCCGCATCAGGCTCTGTGCTGACAGCTTGGAGCCTGCTTCGGATTCTGTGTCTCCCTCTCTCTCTGCCCTTCCCCCTGCTCATGCTCTGTCTCTCCCTGTCTCTCAAAAACAAATAAATGTTTAAAAACAAATTTTTTTTTTAAAAAGAACCACAAAAAAAGTGTGCAGGGGATGGAGAGTGGGTGAAGGCCTACATGGAAACAGAAAAGCAGAATGGTAATAATTGTTGAAGCTGGGTGATGGGAATAGGGCGGGTTTATTATACTGATCTGTTTCTACACGTTCGAAATTTTGCATAATAGAAAGTTTTAAAAACCAGAATGGCCACCAGGTGTCTCTCTACCCTAGTCAAACGGAGCTAGAACACTGCTCTCCAAGGATGAAAACAATGCATTTAGATTGTAAAAGAATCGTGAAAGAATATCCTGGTGATTCCAAATATCCCCATTTTAAAGCATTTGTGGGACGCCTGGGTGGCTCAGTCGAGTAAGCATCTACTCTTTT